TATCTGGACTGTCTATTTCTAACTAGATAGTATATATTTTATATGCTGAAAAGTGAAAACTATGGAGTAATTATTATAATACAAACGACTGTACGACTGGCATTAGTGTTTAAGTTCAATGTAATGTGCTATGTGCAATGTGCAATGCAAAGTTATTCCGCACTATTCCGTGGATTATAATATAATATTATTATAGCATAATTCATTATTATTTTAATTCAAAATAACGTTTTATTTTTATTTTTTAAATTAAAGATAATTTTTAATTTTTGTGAATTCATCTGGTTTTTTAAATTTTCCATTATGATCTGGGGCTCAAAGAAAAAAGTTATTTTCCGAAATTTTCTAGATTTTTGATCCCCCCCCCCAACTATAGGTATATTATTTGTTTATTATTTTTATTTATGATGCCATTGATTAATTAATTTATAAATGTATACAATGATGATGATAAGGAAATTAATTACCAAGGTCATTAGCTCATGGAGCTGTTGCATTCATAATACATTATTATTTATTATTTATACACATACCTAATAATAGTATTATGTTTACTAAGTGAAAGCAATTATAAAGCAATTATAGATAAATATATATATATATTACATAACAGCCACATATTGTACTTGTAGCACAGTACTAATATTAACCATTATCTGTAAAATGTACAATACCAAAACAATTTTACTTGTTTATTGCTTATAATTTACATGTTTACTTTTAGTATTGTCAAGCATACAGTGATAGTTTTATTATTGAATAATTGTCTTTTAGCACTTTAGCAGGCATTTTAAATTTCTTCAGTGAAGCTTAAAGTTTATATTATTATGTTAGATTTTGTCATTTTGATATTGTTGTAATATAAATACAACGAAAAAAAGAATTTGTTCAACGTATTTATCGTATAAAATACCTACTAATAGCGAAACAATAGTAAGTTGATTATTGATATGGTAAATATTTTATTGAGGTTATTGAAAAAAGTTTTGTTAGAATTGTTGAATTAAAAAAAAAATGAAATGAAATACTTATAAATTATAACAAATAACTTTGAAAGCGCATATTTTCATGAAATAATATCCAAGTTATATTCCAATGTTGTATTTAAAAGGGTTGTATCATTAAGGACACACATAACGATATTTAAAAAGATATAATTCAAAATTGGTACAATGGTACCTACATATTATTTCCATTCTGTGTAGAGATAAATAAGGCGAAATGGTTGTCCATGATTTCTAGGTTTATTTTAATTCTTATGATAATTTTTGGTATAAATAGACTTAAAAATATGTTAAAAGACGAAAGATTATAGTTATGGCGTACACAGAATTTATTAACGGCTGTAAACATTCCAAAGTCTGACATAATGTAGTAAAGTTATAATAATAAAATAATAACATGTAAACTAAATATTTAAAACTATTTTCATACATATTATATTACATTTTATAATAAAATAAAATGATGAGTTTATAACTAATAATAATACTTAATTGGTAGTAAATACTTTGTATTTATTTATTATAGCTTAGATATAGCTGGTTTAGAGGTTTAGTTATTCGTTATCACTTATCATAATATTTAGGTATTGAAAGATAATCACGGAGATTCGTTATGACTGTCTGTAGGCAATTCATTATAAATTATATTATGGTACCTACTTACGTTTTTAATCAATAGATATTTTTAAAAACAACAACAAAAAAAAAATTGCATAAGAATGTTAACTTATCTTAACCCAAATTTATTGAAAATATAAACTAAAAATTAAATAGATAATTTACTTTTAAAAAAAAACTGTTAAGTAGGTATAACTGCTCTGCAGCCTACAGTAGGTTACCGGTGACACTCGAATTACCTCCCAAATTTAGGTAGGTGACCTTTTTTTACTCGAATTGCCTCCGAGTGTTTTCGGAGGCAATTCGAGTATACCCAAACGGTCTACTCGAAATGCCTCCCATAACTTACCTGGATTATTAATTAATATATCGATAGTTGTACTTGTACCTACTGTCGATTATAATATTATTCCGTTCAAAAATGTTTAAGACATACAGTATTTCGCAGACCGATTAATTTTTCGAATGCAATAATCTTATCCGTGATTCTCAGTTTCTAAAACTGTCTGGCCCCGGGATTAGTCTATCATCACCAGTTCAACACAGTCAGTTTAAATTTGATGTTTTTTTTTAATGTTACTAACTATTACTGCTGTGTCTGTCTATTTACTAAAATATTTATTTTATACAAACTTGAGTTTTTGACTGTATAACAGAATGATATTTCGTAATTATTATTTTTAATATTATTAATTATTACTGCTATGTCAGTATATTTATTAAAACATTTATTCTATACAAACTTAAGTTTTTCACCGTATAACAGAATGATATTTCATCTAAATTATATTTGATATATTTTTTTATAAATCGATTAATTATAGCTATCGCAGGCGATTCCAGAACAAGTGGGTCACTACCTAAAATAAGAGGAAATTTGAGTGAATAATATTTTTGAAATCAGGAGGCGATTCGGGTAACCTTTAAAAAAAAAAATCATGGGAGGCAATTTGAGGGTCAGATGGGAGGCAATTCGTGAGCGCCCAGGTTACCACGTTATTAAGTATGCGAGTAAAGGTTATACCAAACAATTATTATAATACCTACATTTTTTTGCCTGTTTATTTTAAAAAGTATTGACAATTTTCGATTTTTACCTACTAAAAAGTAACAACTAGATACAATTTGGTATCAGAAACCTCTATCGAAGTTGATGATCACAACATTTTGTCTACTAGAAAATTTGCCTCGGGCACATTAAATAAGAAAAAAAAACACATATCATTGTAAAATCAATACTTTAATCGCTCCGCTCAGATCCTAAAATAAATAAGTTAATTAAAAAAACATAATAAAAAATAAACTTATTCATGAATTAATTTACATTAAAGAATTTTTATGGCATTACACATTCCTAAGTTTTTTAAATGAATAAATAATCCAGTGGATTGTGGATCGAATCTTAGATAAAAATATCTCGACCTATACTCTACGTATATACTTGCAGAAGTCAAAATATTATGTTTCCAAACAGTGTGATTGGAGCGGATGAATGTTCTTATTTGCTCTTATAATATTTTAAGTGCCTATCAATCGATCGGAAATATCGTGCGGATGGGGAACGTGTTGTATGGAAATCGGTTAAATATATATCCTAATAGTTACGGCAAAAGTTATCAAGATTTTCGATGTTTGGTGTAAATGATGACCGTCAATGTACCTAACCCACAACATTCGTGTAACACTGTTGTCGCTACAGCGATGTATGATAACGACATAAATTGCATATAATTATGCAATGGCCTCCATACTATTGCGTGACTGTTGTTATTGTGTATTCGGTGGTATTGTTGATAGTTAGAGGTGAATACGTCTTTTTACGTGCAATACTCTATTTTATTTTAATATTATTATAATAATTATACACGAGTACACGACATGCATATGTCTATAAAGTATAAATCATAATAATATATAGGACATAGGTACATACTTCGTAGTATGCAGTTACCACTACGTCATACTTATTAGTTATTTTATATAAAAATAGCTGATATTCCACCAAAAACTATATGTTATAACTTCGCGGTGTTATAAGTATAATAAGTTTATCCCGCATATAAGTAAAAAGAGTCATTTACAATGACTATAGAAACTTCGTAAAATTGAATTATGTAGATACCTACCTAATTCAAATAGGCCTTTAACGAAAAATAAGATAGTTTGTAAAAGTAATCTTTAATTAACACTTTGATTACTTGGAAGTACCTACATTTAAATGAATTAAAATAAATTAATGAATTTATGTATCTTATGCATTTGCAGAATTACCTAGGTAAATACTAAATATACTTGAATTTTTATTAATTTTCATTTGTTTTAACTTCCTGTTAGTAATGAGCAAAATATTGACTAGGTAACGTTTAGTTTTGAAAAATATAACCTTATTCCTCTGTACTTATTTATATAGATACCTATTGGCTATTTGTACTTACATAATGGGATTTTACTTTATCTTTTAAAAGCTTTAGTCATTACCTACTAGACATTTTTATACTAACCTACTTTTTACTCGAAAATATAGCGATGTGTTTTTGATAAGATATTATCAAATGAAAAATATTATTGATGATAATGATTGATGACAAACATTTTTTTTTCATTGTGTGTAGTAGAACGAAAAGACGCATATTTTGTATAAACTGTTATAAGTTGTAACTTCCCAAAAAAAATATAGGTAGGTACATACATGTACCTACTTTTGGTAGAAACGGGTACCGCCCAAAAATGTTTTGAAATCAAAGTTCGTAGATATAATATGTTTTCTATATCCTATAGTGTACCTATTATAGTACCTACTTTGCATTTGTACATGCGTATTACTAAATTTTATTATTTTTTAGCTGAGTAAAAAGTCTAACTTATGAGAATGAGAAAATATAGTAATATTGAAAATGGAAAAGTCAATGTAAAGAAATAATTTATAATCTATTAAAGCGACTAATTTTAAATATTAAGTACACATAAATAAAAAGTTTTTGGTATTTTAACTTTAATTTAATTTCTAAATAATAATCTTGAACATGTTTTTTACGTGTTTATATAATCGAAAGTATAATATAAATGAATCATGAATGTAAGAAATTGATATCTGCAAGAAGTCATACAAATTACGAATTGCATAATAATATGAATTAATAATTTAAACTATAGGTATTTAAAATAAGTTAATAAAAATTAAATAAAATCGTTGTTACAATTAAGTAAAATATTCTATAAATATTTTTTTTATGATTATAATATAAAAAATTAAGAAATAATACACAATACATTTTTTACAAATTTTAGTTAAATGTTTCTGTAAAATATTAGTTAGGTACCTAATGTCATAGGTTTTAATCAACTTATAAATTAAAATTATGTTAAAGAATTGTAAAAATGGCAATTAAGATCATTATCATTGGATCTGGAGTCGGTGGTACAGCAGCAGCCGCCAGACTGAGCAAAAAAGGATTTCAAGTGGAAGTTTATGAAAAAAATTCGTATAATGGCGGAAGATGTTCAATAATTAGGCACAATGGACATCGATTTGATCAAGGTCCATCATTGTACCTCATGCCTAAAATATTTGAGGAGACATTTAAAGACTTAGGAGAAGACATAAAAGATCATATAGAATTATTACAGTGTAACATTAACTACAATATTAATTTTCATGATGGCCAACAATTTCAACATTCGTGTAATTTATCTAAACTACAACGATCATTAGAAAAATTTGAAGGAGGAGGCGAGGACACTTTGTTGAGATTTTTTAATTTTTTGAAAGAAACCCACGTACATTATAGAAAAAGCATTGAGTTGGCAATGAGAACTGATTTTCAAAATTGGTACGATTTTTTTAATATAAAACATATACCAACATTATTGAAGTTGCATTTGCATAGTTCTGTTTACACGAGAGCATGTAAATATTTCAAAAGTGACTACATGAGAAAGGCTTTCACATTCCAGACTATGTACATGGGGTAAGTTATAAATTACAACCAGGCGTGGATCCAGAAAGCGTTGGTTATACCTTTCTATTTTAGATTACTTACGTAATTAATAATAAAAAAATATTTTATTGGTACCTTGGACGACAGGTGTTGCCTGAGGATCCATGCCCCCCCCCCTGAATCCACGCCTGGTTACATATATTATATTTTTAATAAATAATAATAACATACAATCGTAATTTTTAGCATGTCCCCGTACGATGGATTGGCCCCATACAACTTGTTACAATATACCGAAATAGCTGAAGGAATCTGGTACCCAAAAGGAGGTTTTCATTCGGTTTTGGAAAGTCTTGAAAAAATTGCTGTAAAACACGGAGCAAAGTTTCATTATAACAGCGATGTCCAAGAAATAATAACCGATGGCAATGGAGTGGCTAAAGGAATCAAATTGCAGAACGGTAATGTGATTAACAGTGACATTGTTATTTGCAACGCTGATGCCGTTTACGCATATAACAAGCTTTTGCCAAAAACGTCGTACGCAGAAAAATTAGGCAACAAGAAACTGACTTCGTCGTCGATATCGTTCTATTGGTCGATTAACCAGGTTATACCTCAGATGTCAGTGCACAATATATTTTTGAGCGAAAAGTATAAGCCAAGTTTTGACCAAATATTCGAGGATCACTCGTTGCCAGACGAACCGTCGTTTTATGTAAACATACCAAGTCACATCGATCCCACAGCAGCACCAGAAGGTAAAGACACATTCGTGATTTTAGTGCCCGTGGGGCATATATCAGACAGAACAGATATTGATTTTGATGATCTCGTGAAAAGAGCCAGAGAACACGTGATCAACTCAATAGAGAAAAGACTGAAGATTTCGAACTTCCGAAGTATGATCGAACACGAAATGGTGAATGACCCGAGAACGTGGCAAAGCGAATTTAATTTGTGGAAAGGTTCTGTATTAGGGTTATCGCATTCATTTTTTCAAGTCGCATACTTCAGACCAAGTTTGAAATGTAAAATATTCGAAAACTTGTATTTCGTCGGTGCATCAGTACAGCCCGGTACCGGAGTACCAGTTGTGTTATGTGGTGCAAAATTATTAGAAAAACAATTGTGTGCTAGGTTCTTGGAGGGTAAAGTTGAAATGAACACATGGTCGAAGTACTTTTCATTTTTAATCGGTCTTCTAGCACTTCTGATTTTTTTTTTTTTCGGTTTTAAAAATCAATTATAGTTAGGTATGGAACACATGATACAGGGATGGGTTATATGCCGTAAAATTCAAGGTCAAAATAAATTACATTTTTAACATGTCTATTAGCAGTTTTACTATTTTGGGCGTTTTGTGGTATTTAAATAATATGTAAATTTTCAAAATGTAATTTAAAACATCGATAGTATATACTGTTTATTTGTTAATTTGTTAAAAATAGAATTTTATTTACACTCTTATAGAAATAATAAAATTGTTATAAATCGGATACCAACATTTTAGTTTGATATATTATTTTATTATGTCTAGATTATAAATTAGAATACTATTTGTTGTTTTAAATTAAATAATATTATGTATAAGTAACTATAATTTACTTTTTACCATTATTCTATATTTAGTATAAAATATAAATTATAATTGTATATATATTATATTTTAGAATAACAAAATATTTGATACGAGTAACGATAGTAGATACCTATAAAGAAGTCGATTTAAAATAAAAACATATTTTGTAGAAACTTATAAAGACGTTGTACCTAACATAATCATATATTATGTGTATATTTTTTCAAACTATAGTTTTTAACAATACTTTAGTATTGGTATTGATTATTGGTTGTAGTTTTATTACCTAGTTCCTCTGATACTTCGAGTCTGATCCAATATAGTTGTAAAGGTTTTTTTAATTTTTTAAGACTGGTTATCAACCGGTTTATATTGTAGTGGTGCCCGAGGGTAGGGGTACGATTGGTTTGGAACATGTGTATATGATGCTAGCGATATAGTTATATAGCGATAGTTTTAGCGAACTAAAACCCGGGTGGTCACCCATCGGGGAGCTAGTGAGGCCGTCCGATGCTTGACCTCAGAAAACGTTAGTGACTGCGGCCAACCACCGTTTCACATCAAGTTCCAGGGGTATTTAATTATGTATATACTATGGAATTTAATATTAATTAATATACTTATTATTATACATTACATATTTATTTATAAATGTACAATAGTAAAAAGTACCTAGTATTCATAAATATGTATTTATATTTTATAATAATATTTTTTCTCACTTATATACAAATAAATTTTAAAATTAAGAGACGAATGTTATAAACAGATGAAGACATGAAGTCACTTAATTTTCATATAAATATGTTATTATGTATATTTCATTAATATTTACTATTTTGTAAAAGCCTTATGGCGTTTAAAATAATAAATACATAATTTAGTATACAGGGTGTAACAAAAAGACAATTTTTATTATTAGTATTAAAGAATAAAAATAATTATTTCTATATTACACGTGTAACGCAAGTGACTATAAATTATATATAAAAAACATTTTAAATATTGACAAAAATTATTTCATCTGTTAGATCATTCTGTTGCATTCTGTGTAGTTGTATATGAGCAATGGCAATAATTCAAAAAATAACTACATTTCCATGGGCATTTTTAAAATGCCATGAGTTGTTAGTAAATTAGTAAAATATATAGTTGGTTACAATATAAATCTCTTGGTTTAATTGTGACTATACAAACATTGCCTAGAAATGATATAAATTATCTAAGACCATAGCTATCATAGACCATGATATGACTATATACTTACCTAGTCAGTTTGATGAACGATTTATTTACTCTTTATGTCATTTAAATTTATAATTTTCAATTAAATGGTCTGAGCTTGACTTACTCACCCCGTGTGCACGTCTGACTTATATGTTTATCCTATTATAAAAGTCGTTATTATGTTAACGACTTACACGTCACTCGTAATTTTTTTAAACTCAAATCTATTTTAAAACAGGCACAAAAAAATGTATCACTTTTCTAGAAACAGTGGCTTCAGTTAGTATTACTGGACCACAAGGATTTAAAAAGGTAATTGAACCTCAAGACTTATATGTGTGCTATCGTGCTAATAATGAAATATGCAACTCAAAATGCCATAATTGTTCGCCAATATTCTACCAAAAGCCACCCTCACAGTTAAAGATTGAAGTATTATTATGCGCTATAACAGCACGATGACTATTTCAACACACAAACGATGTTTTTAAATTTTTCCGCAAATGGACAACTTTTTTTGCATACACACTTACCTTGTCAAAATACTGATCACTAACTGAGTGATTAAACAGATGATAATATAGCATAATTTATTAGTAGGCAGTCGTTATTAGTATTCAAGTGACAGTCATTATCTATATTTTCACCGATTTTGAAAATATTTTTATTAATAATATTGTTATAAATTGACATTTTGTGAAGGATTAAGTATTCTGTAACAGTGTATATTTGGTAGGCATATCGCATATATTATGAATTTCAATAATAGAAACTATAATAGATGGATATGAACTTTAATTCCATTTTATTGAAATTCAATTACAAATATGCATACCTCATAAACCTTTGTTGAAACAGAGAATAATACAACAATAAATATGGGTAATGCACAAAAACAAAATATTATTAACAATTTGTATAATTAATACAATCATATATTTTCCTATATGAGCTACATTAATCATGACAACAGAGTCCAACTATGAATATACATTATACTATTAAATGGAGACTTATAGGACGTATTGCATACTCGTAATGTATAATGTCTTAAATGATATCATTAATTTATTGTAGGTTGTTAATTTTGCTTTGTTAGGATATGTCAGACTAGGCTGAATTGCACTAATAAGTCCACTGTAAATCTCAGTAGATGCAAGAATTCTCGCGGCAAACGTTTAATAGCGTCAACCGATTCCAATTGGTGTTTGTCGGCCAACTGCATCATCATCTGGGCATATCTTTGCAATTTCTGATCTCCCATGGCCCTTGGATTCTTTTCCTCGCATAAGACCTTAATATCTTCTTTTTCGTTATCCATACATTCAGTAGGGAAATAGCATCGACCCCACGATTTGCTGTCATGCGGACGATATCTCGGGGAATGTTTACAAATTGTAATCCCTAGACAAAAAAAAAAATTGTGTAGATAACAGTTTTGAAAATATTGGTCGAAAATACTTACGTTTCCTATCTGGTAAGATTTTTTTAATCTTCAATGAAATCGTACTTATCGTATTGTATCAGTATTCAGTACATGATTATGTGAACACACATTGCACCGAAACTTCTGGCCACAAATGTAAAATATACCAGTAAATCGTTTTCATTTTTGTACAATGTACCGTTGAAATCCAATTGAAATCCTTCAGGTAACTCTTCAAATGACCTACGAGGCAAGAGAAATACTATTCTGGAGAATGCACGAAAAATTGCCAATTCTTCTGCTGTCAACACAGACTTGTATTGTTTCCAATCGATGGTTATTTCGCGTGGTTTGGAATGAACTTCAAAACCTGATTTTCTGTCAGCGAAAACTTGTTGAGAAATTTGTGACAGAGTTTTAATTTGACTATTTTATTTTCGAAGTCTGATTCATCATCAATCATGTTATCCGTAATACGAGTAAATCCGTAAATCCGTATATAATTAAGAAATCCAAACGAATTGTTAAATAAAAATAAAAACCATTATCATTAAAGAGTATTATAATTTGTTTATTTATAGATATTTTTATAATGTTATTTATAAAGAACAATTTAAAAATGTCTCAAATGCATCATATTTACCAATAATACACATTTTATACTACAATACTTCACATATTACAATCAAAAATAATTGATGAGCAATTGCAAGTAGGTATAGGTAGGTGACGAACAATCTCATCATAAAACATGTTCTATACTCGTTTTAATATTATTTTGATGAAGATATTATTTACATTTAACGTTGTTAAATTATTATTTAGTAGGTACCTACTTGAGTAAAAAATATAAGTCTATTCATTATAGATTATATTGTGATTAATCATGAAACAAGTATTAAAAACAGATTATATAAGTCTTATTTCGGAAGATATCCATTAGGTTAGTGTGAAGGAGTATTCGAAAAAAATAGCTCTTTTAGCATACAATTTTCTATATTTTTTCTTATTTGCGTTTAAATTTTGTTGGATTATTTTATAATTAAAATAATGTTTGAATGAAAAATACAGTCAAAACTGAATAAGTAATGTCAAGCTATAAATAAATAAAATATATTTAAAAAAAGTTGTCCTTACCGGTATGGAAAAAATAATTGGAAGTTCCGAATAAATTCGATGAATTTAATAATTTAATACAATATTTTAAGTCATCCGTTACAATAGAAGGCATCGTATATTCCGATGTTGCGAATGCACTAAACATCTGACCAACGAAACTCGTACTGATACTAAACTGATGCGGGTATATCAAAGAAAACGTTACAATCATACCGTATGCTTTATCGTAACAAGCTCCGGCCAAGACGACCGCCATGGTCGTTATAAACGTAAACATTGCTTCTTCTAACGGCAAACCGTTGGCCACTGATACGTTTGAACTGGTCGACTTGTTCAGATGCCAAACTATCTAAATGGTTATACATTTGCAGCTTAGCAAAAGATTTTAAATAATAATATTAATTTGAAGATGGTCGAATTCAATGTTATAGACCTTTCCTTGCATTAAATTTTCACGCTTTTTTACCCAACAAATAAAATTTTGTTGATATTTATAGAAAAAAAACCTAAAAAAAATGGAAACTGAAAATGTCCTATACAGCTCAAAATAAGTCAAAATATTTGGAAAATGTTATGGTGTATAGAAAATGCTAATATAAACATTCAGTCAAAATTGTATGTACCTACAGTCATTTGTGTTGCACCAAAAACCAAAATCAATTTTTTCGAAAACATATTTTGCGCACAAATTCCAGTTTTTCCTTAATTTTTCTTTTGTTTTTCAAGGTGCTTTTGGAAACTACTGGAAAAAATTTACTTTTGGCCCCCTAAAGTACCAACTAGATTCATTTTTCTTTCAGAAAAGATACTATTGAAGAAAATCTAAGCACTTTTACTGTTCTAAAAGGTGATGACAGACACAAAAAAAAAACACACACATCATTGTAAAATTAATACA